TAGAGTCCACAGAAGTAGAATGGGAGGCAGAGCCTTTAACTATCAAGCTCCTCTCCTGTGGAACAAGCTCCCAGTCTCAGTTTGGGAGGCGGACACCCTCTCTACCTTTAAGAGTAGACTTAAGACTTTCCTTTTTGATAAAGCTTATAGTTAGGGCTGGATCAGGTGACCCTGAGCCTTCCCTTAGTTATGCTGCTATAGGCCTAGGCTGCTGGGGGCCCCATGATGCTCTGAGTTTCTATCCTCTTCGCGTCCTCTCCTCTCCTCTCTCTCTCTCTCTCTCTGTGCTTCTATATGCCACCATTACATGTCACTAACTTTGTGTCTCCTCTCTCCCATAGTGTGTCCTCTCTGTCTCCCTGTACCTTTTTACAGGTAGCCCTGGCTCTGGAGCTCTATGTTTCTGATGAGCAGTCACCGGCCACATCAACCTGACCAGTGTTTGACTGTTTGTTGTGTCCTGTTGCTTTTCTTTTCTTCTCTCTCTCTCCTCTGTCCACTCACCCCAACTGTTCAAGGCAGAAGGCCGCCCACCAAGAGCCGGGGTCTGTTGGAGGTTTCTTCCAATAAAGGGAGTTTTTCCTCCCCACTGTCGCCAAGTGCTGCTCAAGGGGGATTTGTTGGGTTTTCCTCTAGAATAATAGTGATAATTGTAAGGTCTAGAACTTACTTTGTAAAGGGTCCTGAGATGACTTTTGTTGTGATTTAGAGGTATACAAATAAAATTTAAATTTGAATTACCAGGGAAAAGGCAGAGGGGTGAATGCTTGACTAAAACGAACTGGCAACAAAAATGCACCTACAGAAGGGTGGAGTATCCTTGCATCCAAGTTTCATTGAAGTGATCTAGGAAAGATTAGGAAAAACACAACAAGACAGCGATGATTGAGAACAATCATAGTAAGAAGAAGGAAGGGCAGATGAAAAGATGGAAGATGACAGAAAAGAGATGGAGAGGGGAGCCTGTTCTGTGATTGCAAGTAGGGTTGCTCAATTATGGCAGTTATGAACTGTAAATATAAGAGAGACAAAATTAGGTTGTTTCCAGTGTTCTTGCTCTAACAGTTAAGAGAAGTGATGAGAATGATTTCTACAGCAACTACACCTATTTTAGAAGGGAATACATGGCTTGTTATTTGTAGCACTGATGGTACTCACCAGTGTGTATCGCATGCATTGTAAGCATTGTATTCAGGTGCTGTTGCACAAAACCATACCATGAAATGAATATTCTCAGGCTTAAGAACTTTGACAGGTCTCTATCTTTTCCTAGTCGTGTCACATTGCTTTAACTGCCTAAAGCACATGTGTCAAAAAGGCCCGCGGGACCACATCTGGCCCACAAGATCATTTTATATATCTTTTTTTTTTTTTTTAATGGCCCGGGGATATGAAGCACCGATAACACATAAACTACAGATTCCCTTAATGCAGCACAACAGCTGCATTAAGGGAATCCTTACCGAACGACAGGCTACCTGCGATCATTCCTGCGTCAATTACATCAGATCAATCAAGCGTCTGTTGATGTATACAACCCTAATGTCAAGACAAAGCTAGCACCTAACAATGGCCAAGAGAAAAGTTGATTCTGAAAACAGACCCTTTCTAAACCGGTGGGAGGCTGAGTATATGTTTACTGACATTGCCGGTAAACCTGTGTGTCTTATTTGTGGAGCTAATGTGGCTGTAATTAAGGAATATAACCTAAGACGGCACTACGAGACAAAACATCAGGACAAGCTAAAAACGTGAATGAAGAGCAGAAGCTACAGAAGGTAGAGGAGTTGAAGAGGAATCTGACATCACAGCAGA